CCACCCCCAACCCCACTTCCAGAAGGGCACAACCCCCTGCTTCAGAAACGGGAACCTGGCTGCGGTCTCTGGGCTGCATGGGTGAGCAGCGGGAAGCAAAGCACAGCAGGGCCCCCCTGGCTACTGCGCTGCGGTCCCCAAGTGTGCTGGGGAGCACTGGCGCGGCACTAGCCCTCTGGGCTGGGAAGGGGGCATCCCAGCCGACCGTCATAGAGGAGTAGACCCAGAGGGGACCTCCAGTCCAATCCCCTGCCTGAGACAGGATCAGCCCTCTCAAAACCATCCCATAAAAACAGTCATCTAAACCTTTTGTAAAACTACCACCAACCCTGGCATAACGGAAGACATCGCGCCCAAACCTGCCACTGGGAAAGCAGAGGGGACTACAGTGGCCAACGTCCTGCTCCTGTGAAAGGTTGTCAAGAGATCCCAGCGGGAGCACCACGCACCTGCTACAGAAGAAGGCCACCCTCTTACCCCCAGTCCATGCCAATCTGACCAGGGGGTAAAAGTCCTTCTTGACCCCAGATATGGGTTGTCTGACCCTGAGCAGAGGGGCAAGACCCTCTAACCAGGAGCCTCCTACTTTAGTCCCAGCAGAAGCACCGGCACAGCCCAGTCCCCATCCCCAGCCTGGGCTGCAGCCAGCACCCAATGCATCTGATGAAGGCTTAAAACCCCCCTGACACATGTAACAGAAAGGTGGAGAAAGGGCAACCTGCAAGCCCAGAAGCATGGGAAACCCCTGTAGTCGAGCATAGGCATCGCTCCAACTAGACCATCCCCGACCGGTGCCTGATGGGCCGCTCGGACCCCCACGAGGAGCAGGTCTGGATTCAGAACTGGACCCAGACTTCCCCCGGGCCGGAGGAGGGAGCCCCGACAGCGCCAGGCTCCTCTCCAGCGTGAGCCCCTCACCATCGTGCGCAGGACGTGCCGCGCTCGGGGCCGAGACCCGCCGCCCTACCTTGTTGTACATGTATCTCAGCATGAAGTCCATCAGGAACGACTTGCCCTTGCGGAAAGCCCCGGCGACGGACACGGCCACCACCTCCTTGTCTCTGATGGCCTCCGAGAGCAGGATGCGGTTCAGGGCGGCCTCATCCAGCTCGAAGGAGTGATCGTCCTTCACAATGAGGACCTGGACCGGCCCGGCTTTCCTCACGGGCTCCTCCTCCTCAGAGCTCCACTCGTACGGCTTCTCGGAAAAGCCGCCTGTTGGAAGAGAGGAACCGAGAGTGGGGTCGGTGCACGCGGGGGTCTTTTCCTACAGGACAGCCTCATTCTTCCACCGTGCGGGTTACCCCTGTGTATAATCCCTGGCTGATACTTACCTCCCGCATCAGGCCATAACACCTTCCCTGGGGCACTGCTCTGGGGGAGAGAAGCAAATTGCATCTTCCCGGCAGAGGTAGGAGCAGCGCTCAGCCTTGCAGGGTCTCCGCCATCCCCCCCAGATCCGGAGAGAGGGAGCGCCAGCTGGGGCAGCTGTGCTGCAGGAGCTGTCCACCGCGAGCACAAGGACCCGGCGCTTCGCAGGCTGTTCTGGGTACGCTGGATTGGTGGCAGCGTGCCAAACACGGATAACCCACATGATTCTCCAGGACAATGGAGCTAAGACGCTAAAAGCTTTTAATGACCTAATGCTCAGCTCGGGAGGCCTAGCACACCCCCAGCTGCTCCGAGGAAGGATGCATTAGAAGAGCCATCCACAAAGGACATCTCCATGGGGAGCTGGAAGCCGTGCAGCGGTGGCAGGCGCCCTTCTTTCCCCGTCTCGATGCAGAGGGACATTTGGGAGGGTAGTTACCAGCCCTCAGCTCCCCTCTAGCAATGCCAATTCTCTTAGCTAGGACAGGAGCCCCTGCAGGCAGGGAGCTCCTCCATCCTTCTCGGAGATCTTGGCAGAGATCACACAGGCCCTGCCTTGAACCAGGATCTTCCAAACGCCATTGCTGAAAGGCCGGCTCCCACATCCCAGCCTGAGCACCGGTCTAAGCAGCCCAGTGCCAGGAAGAGCTCAGTAACCCTCCTCTCTTTCACAAGCAAGGGCCCGTCTTCTGCACAGGCTTGGGGCTGATCTCCAATGGGTTGTGCCCTTTTCTGCCTCTCTGGGCACGGGTGCACCTAACAGAACAGTTTCAATGCAGTTTAAACCTGAAGCAGACAGACACATGAACCTGTTCAGCTGCTTCAAAGCTGCCTGACATGGTTCAGAAGGGTGCCTGGAAGTGCTGCTTCAAAGCAGGGCGCTGTGAACCAGTTCAGTGTCACGTGTGGACACCACGCGTCCTGTGACCCGGGTCTGGTTGGTCCTCCAGACATCCCACGCTCCATCGCTCCTCACCACCACCACCTCCAGCTGCTGCCACTGGCCACTCTGGTACGTGGCCAGAGCTCGACTGCCCACTTTTCCTCCCTGCTTTGGTTGGCACGTTTTATCCATGAGCCCCTTTGCACTGCTGGGTCACAAGATATCACTGCAACAGCCAGCTCTGGCCTCATACCCTACTCAATGGCAGCCCCTTGTCATACCTTGTCAGCTGCTGGAACCAAAAAGAGTGGGTCCAAGCACTACCCCTCCCCGGTAGGGAGGCAAGCACGTGGCAAACTTTGGTTATCGAAGTCCAGTTTAGGAAAGAAGAGGAAGAAGAAAAGTGGCAATGTCCCCAGCTGCAGGTCACCCTCCTCCTGGGACACCCACAGTATGGGTGCAAGCACTCCCCCCGTACCTACTAGCCCTCTGGGAGTCATACTAGGCTGGGTGCTTGCTCTCACCACTTGGTGTTAAGGCCCCAGCACTGTACACACTATTATGCACCGGTTCCCAATCAGTGACATTTGGGAAGGCTTCAGTTGTGACATGCGTGCACCCTCTAAAGAAGGCTTGAAAGGTGCTTTGTTGGGTTTTTATTGCATTTTATTGCTTGTGGTCATATTTTGTGGAAACAGGTGCCTGTCCCCATGCCTCTGGACCTCAGTCTAGCATCAGCTGGATGCAGGAGGCGACTGCAGCAGGCTCAGCTGTGCATGTTGCGCTCTCTTCATCCCAGATGGAAAGGCAGAGAAGGCTTTTCCTGGCTGCTTGGCGTGTGGTAACAACCACAACAAAGCCAAAGACACCGAGTCTCCAGCCCATGGTGCAAAGTGGCTGTTCTCAGTGGTGGTAGGTGGCAGAGCAAGGAGCAATGGTCACAAGTTGCAGCAAAGGAAGTTTAGATATTGGGAAAAACTTTCTCACAAGGAGGATAATCAAGCACTGGAACAAGTCACCCAGAGAGGTGGTGGAGTCCCCATCCTTGGAGGTTTTTAGGACCCGGCTAGACAAAACCTTGGCTGGGATGAGTTAGTTGGGCACAGGCACCGAGTACATGGTGACTACCCATCCCTACTTAGGTGGGACAGTCCCGAAATGGGAACATCAAGTCCCAGTCTGGGCTGCGTGACTCCAGGGCAGCATTTGTCCTGGATTCCCACTATTGTGCAGGGATGCAGGTTTTTCATTCACCACGGAAGAATAAGGAAAACACGGGTTTCCGCTTGCAGGCTGGCAGTGTTTCAGCCTGTAAGGGGCTGCAGGGAGCGGGAGGCAGGGGGTGCACCTATGCACCGCACGCATGCAGGAACAGCCCCAGGCAGCTGCGGAGAGCAGCTCCCCCAGCGGCCTGCAAGCAGATCGAGGCCCCTGTGGTGAGGGAAGAAGTGGGGTAGGCCAGCGGTTCCCAAACTGTGGGTCGCCAAATGGGGTCACAACATCAGCGGATGGGATCGCAGGAGTTGGGGGGCTGTGGGTTGGGAGTGAGGGGCCAGGTTGAGGAAATGGAGCTATAAATGGGGTCATGCTGAGGAGACATTTGGGAAACACTGGCCTAGGCATCAAATCATCCTTCTGAGCCGGTCTCCTGGGCCTTGACCTATTCTACGGGCGTGGGAGACCCAGGGAGGGAGCCGCGGCTGAAGCCAACAAATGCCCTAAAGGCCTTGCAAGTCGCAGGCCTGGCCTGATGCGCTGTGGCACCCGCGGCGGTTGGAGAGGAAGGGCATTAGGGTCGGCTGGCTCTTCTCTCCATCGGGCTGCCAGGGCAGGGAGGGGTACAGGGAGACGGGTCAGTTCTGCTGCTGGAGCCTGCGTGGCTGAGGTCCATCCTCCCTCCAGCCCAGCTGCTGGAGATGCGGGCGGCAATAGAAAACCCAGCTGAGCTTTCTTTTCTCCCTAATGGAAAACCCCACTAAGTAATCTCAGCGTATTGCCCCTGGTTTCACAGCACCAAAATGCAACCGGTCTTTTTGTTCCTGCTCTCCAGGAGATCCCAGCGGAGGCTGGAGGAAGGACTCTCACAGCGTCTATGGGCAAGTCCAGCAGCAGCTCCGATCTTGTTATAGGTCCAGAAAAAAACCACCAGGCATCTTCCCTTACTGCTCTTGCCAAGGCTCAGGGTGAAACCCAGAGTGTCCGAGTCCAAGGGGCCTCTCAAAGCCCCCAAGCAGCAGGTTTTGCCTTTAAGGCAATGCTTGGGCAGAGGTCAGGAGCTTTCCTTTGGGGACCCCCCCTGCACACCTGCACAACAGGGACCTGCTAGCCCATGGCTGGAGCACCCTGATCCCTCCCAACAAAGACTAGATGAATTAAAACTAAACATCCAGAAGTGCAAGCTCTTGGGCAAGTCTCTTTGGACTTTGCAGGGCCAGGGGCAAAAGCTTTGCCTGTAGCAGGGGGTGGTGGAGCCTTGTGATGGGCAAGAGAGACATGGCTGAGCTGGCAGGGCTTTCCCTGCTGCAGTGACACCATTTCCTCTGAGCAGCAGAGCTATGTCCCTGCTAGGTCCCTTCCCCCCACAACATAACGACCTTTTCCCATCCCTCGCTAACCCGTACCTGCCAGCAGCCAGGCCAGACTATGAACCTGGCAACCAAAGGGCTGGACAAGCAGTCGCCCTGCGCCGAGCTAGAAGCGACAGAGACTTCTTGTGCAGCGAGCGCCTGTCCCTCTGCCTGCCCTTACCCCGCAGCAAGTGAAAGCCACGGGGTGCTGCTGCCCCCTGAATGAAGCAGGGCTGAGGTGGCCCGGCTCAGTGCTCACCCACTGCAGGATGAGAGCATGTAGACAGGACCATCACCGTGCAGTAAGTACAGGCCCTGCTTCACCTCGCTGCAGCGCGACTGCTCCTCCAAACCCAGGGGCTGAGAGCTGCTCCATCACATTTACAGCTATCAAACCACACAGGGCATTAACCCAAACATGCCGCTGAGCAGATCTCAGCCACACATCTCTGCTCCTATCCCAGGGCACACAAACCTCCCTATATAAATGGCCCTTGGACTTCCTTATTTGCTGCCCATGCACGCGTTTACTAGATGATGCTTATTTGCAGTGAGTCAGACACTCTTCTATAAACTAGAAATCAGATGACCCTAACCGGTCTCTTTGCCACAGCTCACATCTCCCCTTTCAAGGAGCTCCTTGCTGGCAGGCGCACACGACCGGCTTTCCAAGATGAAAAGGAAGGAAACTCGGAGCTTCCCCAAGCATACTTTTGTTTTGACTCGCATTCAGGCTAAACCCCGCGCTTTCAGCGCCGCGTCAGCTCCCCTCTGCAGTGATGTCAATTGTCAAGCTGTTCATTCATCGATCGCCAGGATTTTATCTCCCCTTTTTTTTTTTATAACAGCTGAATTCTTCTCACTTAACTGAAAGCCTTCAAGGAAGGGTGGGTCTCCTTCCTCTGTATGGTGATATAAAAGGGGAACATGGCAGAGAGCAACATCTGCGCAGTCCTATTTATGTCCTCTGAGAGCCAAGCGGCAGAAAGGGTTCACCTAACCGGCCCCTTGCAATGGTCGGGACTGGCTGCTGCATGCACTGTCCATCCAAGGAGGGAATAGGACGAATAGTCAATTGTTTTTAGGAATTTTGTGCTAGATAATAGAAGATAAAATAAGCTAAAAAATGAAGCATGTTCCATGTTCCTCCGAAGTGCTGGTGCCCAGCCACGCGCGCAGCGGGACGGGGCTCCTGCAGAAGAGTAAAGAGGGCAAGCCGCCTGCCAGCAGCCGAGCCGACGTGCCTTTGGCATGTGCTTGCAGCTCCAAGGGATCAGATCACACCACGAGGGTCTTAGCAGAGCTTTAATGCGCAGAAAAAAGTCAGCTTCAGTTTCTGCAGCAAAGTGATACACAAGCATAAAGGAGAAGGGTTATAGCCATCAGAGCAGGAG